TCTCCTCTCTGTCAACGCTCTCTGGTTTCATTTAAAAGAGTCGATCATCAGATATTGTCCAAGATTAACCTTCAGGGTGGATATAGTTCGCTCACACCGAGAACCTATTCATCATCATTTACCCTGAATACTTTGTGGGTAAGTAAAATGGCTCCGTCCGTGTTAAAATATATTTTAAAAATTTACTAAACATCCTACAGTATTTTTACAGTCTTTATTTTACAGTTAAAATATATGTTTATCAAATAAAGACTAACGTTACAACTAATCATGGATCTCTTTAAATCTATTAAAAAAAGGCAGACAATAAACAGAAACTCACCTAACTGAGCTGCAGCTCCAATCAAGGCGTATTTCCCAGGGTCAGCCCAGATCTAAAAAATAAAAGAACAAACCCATAAGGAGTTAATGATGAATTCCGTTTAGAGGTAAATTAAACCTGTGAGGTGTCACAAACCGAGTTAGTTGAAGCTATAGAGGCGAGCAGGATTCCACACAGCCTCCCCCAGGCGGCTCCGATGAGAAGAGACGGGATGAAAACCCCGGCGGACACAGACAGACCGTAAGTCCAACAAGCCAGGAAGAAGTAGGTCAGCGTGAACAAACCCAGCGTCAGAGGGTTGTAGGTGCCTTTAACGCACAAACAACACAAAATGTGATGGAGCGATACGTTCAGGCTAAAGCCAGCTGGTCCTCCTGCAGGTTTACCTGGTGGGTTGTGAAAGAGACTTCGCACGCTTCTCTCAGGAGTGTTGAAGAAGGCTGTTGCCATGGAGTTGTACTCTCCATCTGCACAAAACAACTTAAAAAGGGAAATTTAAAAAGTCACAAACACTTTCTTTAATTTATGGGTCTGTGATGTACTTTTAATTCTTGTACCTTTGTGAATGAGTAGCACACAGTGGTTGGGTTAGTGACAAGTGGAAAATTCAAACCAAATAAATAAAATCACGACATGAGGAGAATAATCTATTTTGAGCTCACTTTCCAAACCCATTCATTTTTAAACCTTTTGAACATCTGATTTTTGGCATATTTTAAGCTTTCATGGACGCACCAAACTAACAGGCAGCAGACAGACCTGCTGAGTGAGTCTGTGTCTACCTGCAGTGGATACTCCTCGGCGTTGTCTGGGCCCAAAGGCTGACAGTCATTAGAGAAGTAAATCATGATGAAAGACACTGCAGCTGTGACTGCAGCGACCAACATGGCCTCCATCACTTGCAAGCATGGCCTGTGCACATATCTACAAGAAACATAAAAAGTGAAGGGTTTTCAGGTCCACGAGTTCAAACTCAGTATGTGACCAAACACTCAGCTTGAACTTTGTGAGGACATTTAATGAACACATTGGGTTTTTGATGTACCAAAGTTCCTGTCTACAGATCAATATTCCTTACTTACATGTGGAGTTCCTCAAGGCTCCATCCTGAGTCCTATTCTGTTTTAATTACACGTGTTGCCTTTACTGCTTTACAGATTTTTGTGCCCAAAAAAATACAAATTACTGATTGTATTGTAAGCCTTTATTGTATTGTTTGAATACCACCAGGCCACAGATGTCGTCATATTTTCTTAATTTTATTGAAAACAAAGCAGAAATAATTTATAAAAGGCAGAAACTAAACAGAAAAGTGATTAATGCTCATAGCTGGGTGACCTGTCAAAACAAGCTTCTTCAGTTACGAGTCTTTGGCAGGTTAAAGCCTTTTTTTTATTTTTCAACTATTATCAAAAGGTTAATCATACTTTTACTAAACCACAAAGACATTTTCATAGCATGAAGGTGATACCAATGATATCAGACACCAATATCTTCTTGTCTGTTACAAAACAKATTTTAAGATGTTAGTTTTTAGGACTTATTGTTTTCGTAAGTCTTATTTTCAGGATCTTATAGTCATTACATTTATCAAAAACACTGATGTCAAACAACCAGATGCTCTCAGACTGTTTGATCTTGATTTRTTTTATTTTTGTTTTTTGTGATTTTGTGAAAATGATGTGCTCAAGACTCGCAGAGCACAACCAGTTGATTTTATTCATTGTGATTTTACTGTTTTATGAAACCTTTTTGATACTTTGTTTATTAATTAAGTGTGTCACTTTTTGTATTTTAAGATACACTACTATTCTTTTTTGTAAAATCATCGCTATACATACAGCTCATTAGCAGTGCAGCTTTTGTTGTTTGTAATATGTCCTATAAATAAAACTGACGGTGACATAAAAGAACATTTTAYAAATCGGTGTGGAATTACCCTCAACAAAAAGAAAAGTCCAAGTGCTGAAAACCAGCTGAGAGGAAAACAAAGCAGTGACTGACATTAAAAAAACTTCCTTACAGACAGTGATGGTGGTAGAGAGGAGGTAGTATTTTTAAAAACAGGTCTGACCAGCATATAAATAAACTGCTCATAAAAAACCTTATTAAATTACACTGTCTTTTTTAAGATAGATCAAACACGCTTCAAAAATGTTACTCACAAGGTTTAAAAGTAACTTTACCTCTCATTACACAAAGTCTTAGTAGTAGTATAACAACCTAAGACTAGATACAGTTATAAGGTTAATAAAATCCATTTTTGGACTAAATGAGGATATTTCTGTCCCACTATGATTATTTTTGTAAATGTATTTTACAACAATGGCACATAGTTACTAAAATAAGCATAAATATTTCACACTTAATAATGTATTTTCCCTATTTTTCCATGTCCATCTAGATGTTATTATGGTTTTGTCTTTCAGCTTTTGTTACTAAAGCAAGCATAGCTCACATATGGACTGGATTGCTTCACAACTGTTATTCTATTATTCACTATATAACACAAAAATGTAATTGTTCACAAACAAACTTCAAAAAGGCTTCAACCAGACTTCATTTCTTAAAATGTTGAATATAAAAAGAAACACATAAATAACTTTCAAAGTCATTTCTATAATCAGTCAAATTGGAATTAAATTTTGTGGTTAGCTGATGAAATGCAACAGAGTTGGTGTCCAGACAGATCCTGCAAATGATTACAAACTATTATCCCATGGATAGTGAAAACAAGGATTTAAAATTAAGTCTAATTAACTATAACTATTAACTAGTCATTTAACACAAATAACCTCCAGCTTCATGCTGAGAAGCGTTCGAGCGGGACTTTCCTTAAAGATTACACTGTCAAACTAATCATACCTGTTCCTACAATGTGACTAGTTTTACTTGCTTCAATCACATGATGAGGATATTTTGAGAAACTCTTAAAGGCTTCCATTGAAAACTTCCTCATCTTGAATCCACACCTTTTTTTTCTGTGAAAAGCAACATGTTGTTTTGGCAGTTTCGGGTGTTGAATGAATATCTGTTCAAATGTTTGGCAGTGGGTTTCTTTCTAACCGTACCTGATCCTGAAGATGGTCAGCCAGTAGTTGAGTATGTTGAATAAAGCTCCCAACATACCACCTAAAACAGCAAAAAAAGTGTGTGGGGGGTTATAAATACATACATATATACAATGTATAATTCTTGCTTTGGCCCTTCATCACACTTCCACCTCTGTGCTTTACTGTGCAGAATATGTCTTTGAATTAATCGTGGTCACACTCTTGCTAGTAACCCGACCTTGTTCTCACATGAATGTGCTCAGGCAATGACTCACCTTTAAATAAGGTAATTAAATAAAAAAGGCTGCTGCAGTTTTTAGCTGTGAATCATTCTTGAGTACAACTGACCATGGTGACACAGATTTTCACAGTGTGCACTGTTTTCTGTCYAATTTCTAAAATGTAGTCTTGCATTAATTTCCCATGTGGAGCCATGTTGCAAAMTTGTAAACAGACTTGAGAAAAATGACTAAAACAGAAGCTTCTTGTGTTCAGAGATCGTCTAAAAACATTGTTAATGCAGTTCATTTAACTTTAAGTTTAGTCATTTTTAATAAAACCATGCTCTAGTTTTATAATAACAAACTTATATCAAACTATACTTACCTAGAGCTCCCATGGCAATGAACAAGGGAATCTCATAGAGGTTATATGCCATAGTCTGAAGGGAGAAAACAGATCTGTTTTACAATTAAAGACAAGAAGAGGGAAAATCTAAGTGAAAAATAWATAAAGGTAGTTTCTCACTTCGCTCTCGAAGCGTCCAAAGTTGATGAGACCTGGATTGGAAAGCTCTCCTGGTTTCTTGTGATAAATACTGAGGAAGAAGTTCAGAGTGAAGGTGGAGATCATGGAGGCGAAGAACTGCAGATCACAAAAAAATAAAAATAAAAAAGAGTCAAGAGTCAAATAAAGAGGAAAGGGATAGGAGAGGTACAAATAGTGCTAAACATTTCCATTTTTTTTACAGATAGCTACTGGTTTGATCTGTTCAGAGTGGTGACACTTTCAGGCACATGACTTACAATCCTCCATGTCAACATCTGATTCCAGAAAGAAGCTCCTTCTTCAAGWGAGAATAAAACACCCCCTGTTGAACAAAAATAAAAACTAAAATTCACAGCTGTAACTGTAACTAAACAAATCATAAGCCCTACTTATTATGCATACAGTGAATTAACATTAAGCTAAAACTAGCTGATATTAGCCCGCAGCTTTCTTTTTATTGTGTGAATAAGCCAGGCATTCATTAGTTTTAACAAAATGTAAATACTCTTTTCACATGAGGATAGCTGCAGACAAGAGAAAAGATTTGCAAAGTATTTTTATTCTATTTTCAAATGTCCAGGGTTTCCCTCAGTGTATTATTACCCAGGCAGGCTGCCAGGCTTTACTTGCCCCACCTTTAAGAGAACCGGGACATTTCCCGGTGGTCTGGCCCACTCAGAGATCAACTAGGGGCAGAATCAAAGGCTTTGAACAAATATTCAATTTGGAGGCTGGAAAAAACTCCTTTCTATTACAAAAGGAGCAAACACATCCGCTATATTGTTTTAACACCATCAAATGAGCAGAGACAGAAACGTCTCTGTATGTTTTGTTAGTTCTTTGCTCTTTATTTGGCCCTGCAGTCATAATATTGTAATGCTGGCTTTATAGCAGCTGAACAAAGGAGCAAAAGCYGATTATGAACAAAGCATGTTTAATGTTCTGCAGCGGTGCAGTGACTTGGTTGTTGTTGTTTTACCAACAGGTGCTCCAAAAGCAGCAGAAACTCCAGCAGCAGCTCCAGCAGAGACAAAGTCTCTTTTTTCTGTGTCTCTGCGAAAGTATTCAAATATCTACAAAAACACACACACTGATTAGAAATCTCTGAAACTCTTTAAACTTTAAGAAAACAAATCAATTTTAACAGTACTATTTAGGATTAAAACAACCTGACAAAAATGACAGAAACTTGTAACGCACTAACCTTAAAATCTTTTTTCAAAGAGGTGCTCCTCCCCTGGGAAACGCCTGCAGCGACAACAGCACCGGAGTGAATCATGGGACCTTCCTAAACATTGTGGGTAGGTAAGAGAACAGAATATGTTAAAGGATTATTTTCTTTTTTTTAAATAATAAATAAATAAATAAAAACAGACAGTACAAGCATTGTGTCCTTGCATTCCTTGGAGGAATACATACAGTATCACCCACCAACCCAGTAAGAGTTTTAGACAAACATTACATCTCGCTGTAYCACAAACAGCTAAAACTTTAACGTTTCCCAACACAAGATGATCTCAGGTTGTGAATTACTCCCAGCTTTTTACCACATCTTATTTTAGCGGAGTACCTGTACTACTAAAACGGAGTTGCATTTGTGTTGGTTAATGTTGATTTGCTGTGGCAGCCATCTTAAATTAGGTTTTAAAATACTTCAGAAATGTTTACCTTCCCTACAGCGAGTCCGCCAACCACAGAACAAATGACACCAAACACTTTCACCACCAGAGTCTGTGGAGGGCAAATGTTAGATTAAAACAAGAAYGTTTCCCTGCTTTAAAAACAATATATTTAAGTTTGTGAGTTATGTGCTCGTACCTTGAGTCGTACAACCCTGGGAATCTTGACTCCATTTAGGTAACATTTTATCTGAGGAATCCCACTTCCTCCTGCTATGGGCTGGAAGAGACAGTAGGAGGGATATATCAGCAGTAAGTATGAGCAGAAGAAAACAGATTTAAACTAATAATTCTGAACTTTTGTTTATAACCTAGATCAGTGTTAAAGACAAGCTTGAAACTGAAACTAAACTAAAAAAAATAAATTCAAGAATAAAGACATGTGTTTTTACACAATTTCAACATTCACAACACAAAGAGGATATTTGGTTCCCAAMTGAGATTTTCACTTTCACTGGTCAGTGTGCCACATAAGCCAACTAGTCAAWGAGCTTCAACTGCATATTTCCTCAAAATCTACTTTTAMAYTTCAGGAATGCAATTATATAGATGGGAAAGGAATAAATAAATAAATAGATAAATAAATAAAAGCACAAAAAGTAAGGAAATGTATGTGTAGTAGAATATTTGCAACAATGCTTCTTGGCAATAACTCTTATACCAGGCAGCACCTGGAGGCACCAGAAGCTCAAAACAAATGTCAACAGCAAAATAAGCTGTTTGGCAAAGAAGATTTGGCAAATTTTTCATTTGCACAACCCACATACTCAGCTCTACTGCTCATCCCATAAATGCATGTTCCTTACAAATGTGGCACCATTTAAAAGGGAATTTAACAGGCTTTCCAACGGTTTAAGATTTATTGCCAAGAAGCATTGTTACAAAAAAGATATTCTACCAAACACAAATTCCTGTGCCTCTTAATTACTGTTTTGTAATTTGTTTTAACTTGTGTATATTTCATTTGTTTTAATTTTTGTGTAACCAGGTTCTTGTGTGTTGCAGATGTCTGCCCAGGTCCCTCTTGCAAATGAGATCTGGATCTCAATGGGGTTTTACCTGGTTAAATAAAGAAAAGAAAGAGAAAAAAAAAGTCCTTACTTTTTGTGCCAAGTAAACTGATGACCATGCAAATGAACAAGCTGCCTGATCCTTTTCTGCTTTACCTCAAAACATGCGACCATGATGGCTCCCAACATGACAAACGCACAGTTAAGGACGGCCCAGAGGATGAGAGAGATGGACAGACCACCAGCTTCTGTAAACTGAATAATGTCTGAAAAGTACCGGAGTCAAGGACCGGTCCAGTTGTCTGAACACTGAAGTCTGCCAAAGTAGCATTTAAAATTATTCAACTAGGAGAAAGAAGAGCAAAATTATACATACACCTGCAAAATTATCTTAATCTAGAAATAAACAAGTATTTAAATAACAAATAACAAAGATAATACCAAGTAGTTTAACTATTTTTTAACCCAAGGATTATATACAACGTAAACACCTGGTTACAACAAAGTCTGTAAAAAATGAACACATTTTAAGGATACTGTCTCTGATGACTTTGTATTTTAAGCCAGCCAGCTCTTCCACGGCGATGTCTATAAGACAGGCGATGAGTCCAGTCACAATGCCAATTATTCCACAGACCACCCAACGACTGATCTCAAGACAGCGGAAACCCTGACGGTACGAACCGATGAGTGACGCAGGAAGAAGAACGAACAGGGGAATGGAGGAGAAGAGAGCAGGATGAAAGACRGAAAACCTACATTAAAACACTTCCTGCTAAACTCACCATGAAACTCATCCTCCTCTCCTCTTCCAGAAACAGCTGATTTTCAATGTTGTCATAGTCCAGACTCTAAAACAACAAGCCCACAAWACAAGTTCAGTCACAGACAGTTCTCAACTAACGATCAAAAATTCTGTATTTGTCTATTTGGTCAATGAATGTATCATAAATGAGCTGCTCTATTCGGCTAGAATCAGCAGTTTTTACTGAAGGAAGCAGACTTGAAGTTAACTGARTGTTTTGTTTTTACACAAACACAAGAAAAAGAAGCAAAAACAAAACAGACAAAAAAGTCTGTTAAAATCCGACATTAAAAAAATACTTCAAACTATTTGAAGGAACTTTAACACTGAACAACTTAAAACTATTTTTTCTATTTTTCACAGTGATGTGATTCATTTTACCTCGTATTTAAGTGAAAGCAACTTCTCATTGTGAGGGATCTCTTTGGGTCTCCAATTTGTAGGATCCTGCAGGGGAAAATAAATGAAAGACAGATCAACATTTCATCACCTGGTGAACCACACCACCACCACAAGCAGAGAAGCTGGAATTATACTGAAATATTCAACACAAAGCAGCTGGAAGTGCAGCATAAGAATWTAAAACATCATCATAAACAGATTTTTTTTCCCCAAAATCTCAAAAGCCACTAAGAAAATGAGGAAAGCTTTGAATGACTTTGACTTTCAAAGTGATGCATAAGTAATGAGACACATAGAGCGACTGTGGTGAGAAAAAAAAAAGCATTTCCTCCAGAACGTTGGATGTGAAAGTCTTTATTCTTGTGGATTCTTGAAAACAGGATTTTTCTTTTAACTATTATTAACACAGATTAGGTGGTGGAGGAAATGCTTGCATTTGTGATTAATGCATTAACTAAAACAAGCCAGTGACAGACTCRCATTTATTTCTACACAACTAAAACACAGCTACAATAAAAGGCTGCATTCACAGAGACAGTAAACATWACATTGAAGCAAATCACATGCTTGAAGTCACATTCCCTGAAAACTGAGCTGCGTCTAATGSTTTATTGTGATGGATGGAAAGGAATGAGACATCCTATCAAGACTTGGACACTTGTCCCACACAGAGTGTGGGTCAAATGTTGTCTAGTTGCTAAAAAAAAAAAGATTAGAAATCAATGGAAAGACTGATAGCGATACTTGCCTGATACTTTTATTGCTTATTCTTTTGGGTGATAAATTGTAAGTTACATACCAACTTTAACAGGTAAATTTCAGACTTTTTGAAGTGAAGAACAATAACTATTTTACCTGTTGTAGAGAGCTGTTTTAACAGCCTTAGTTTGCAGAGAACTTAATTCTGACAAGCTCATAGTTTAACTGAGATAGGGACATGAAAGTGAACTGCTGCCATCTTAAAGGAACTCCAACCACAAAAATAATTCAGAGCATATTTTCACGTGACTTTAGCTTTCAGTTTCAAATTATTGGTTGTTCTGGCACGTTCTGTAATATTTCTGCTGGAATTGCTACAGCTTGCTAATACTGCTATTTGCACTTGCAAATAACTGAATTACATCTTAATAATGTTAAATGCAAAATGGACAGTAATGTAAAATATTATAAAATAGCCTTCWGATAAATTATGACATTTTGGAAACTGGAGTGGTTCTGCTCAAACCAGCCACTAGCTCGTCAATCCATTCAGAATTTAACTCCAGTTTTCTCCAAACTGAAGCCATTTGAAGAGCTATCTACATCAGRTAAGATGTCGTTTGTGTATAACCTTTCAACATTACCCCACTTCAAAAGATCTGACCAATCTTCTTACAGAAATAGATGATTAAACTGGTATTTACTGGAGTCTTTGTCTGTTTGAACTCCTTGTAGGTTTTTCTAAAACACTTTGAACAGGAGGATCTTTACAAGTTCAGTGTCTGTTTTCTTCCACATCATCTTCTGTGTTTAAAATATGAAAACACTGAGAGGTCACATTTGTGCACATTAACAAACACGTGCCCCAGATTAAATTGTATTATTTGCTTGCTTCACAGTGGAAAACATCAGACATGTGCCTTCAGAGCTCTCTGAATGAGTCAGCTGACACTGGGCCGCTGGTCCCAAATCAGGCCAGATCATTTTCAGAGAAAAGCAGCTGAGATGAAGATGAAACAAGCTAGTTTTACCTCAAACTACATTTGTTAAATCAACAAAGCCCGATTAGTTAAATCAAAATTAGATCTATTACATCAAATAAAAGTAAAATGAGGTTGTGAGGCCAAATCACAGAGGTAGGATATCACCAATATTTTTGTCTAAAAGGCTCAAAAGAAGCAAAATCCTGCTGTTGAAGCGACGACTTGATAGGAGCAACAGACACAAAGAGAGGRTGACCAGACTGGAGCTCCAACTTTACCTCCTCGGCTGTTATTTCCTCGTCCAAATCCACCGTGCTGAATCTGCCTATCTGAAATAACCTCCTTCCTCCAGACAGCTACAGACAGTCACAAACATGTGTCTTTGTCCAGGCTGATCATAACAAACAGGTACTAGTATCAAGTAAAATGTAATGCAACTGAACAGTGCAGGAAACTAACACAAGTATGGAAAATTATTCCGAACACAAATAAAAACTTAAGACTGCAATATAAAAGTAGGACAGTTTAGAATTTGCATTAATAACTTTTGTGTGTTGCTTTTCTGATGCCTAAACAAACAAAGAAACATCCCTGTTCTGGTGTGGGTGCAGTATGAACTTCTGTTAGCTCTATTACTTCTGCAAAAGTAAAACAACATCAAAAACATGCAGCTGATTCAAATCCACCTGTAGTCCTCCTTTTAGCTCTGAGAGCTTTATTTTAAGAAAAAAAGGAAGTTGTTTTTCCCTGATTATTTTTATACCACATGGGTTTACAGCCTGTGTTGAAGATGTGACAGTACAATCTTATTTAGGTTTGATGTGTATGCGTGTCATTCTTTTCTCACCAGGTTAAAGTCCCTATCATTCAAACAAGAGTGGGCAGGACAAACGTTTCCAAACGCAAATRTGTTCATCAAGGAGGTCATTTTCACAACAAAACAAGCCATGACACGATAAAAACATGACTGTGTCTGAGGCAAACRCATTAAAATGACTGCACACATCAATAACCCGTGCAGCATTCAGAAACATGACTCAGTCGCTTTATTTGCATGACTTTTTATCTTTCAGCTACAGAGGAAACAGCTGTTAGCATAAGTTAGCTACCTTGTTAGCATGTTAGCCGTACCTGTCTGGATACCGAGGGCCGCTCGGAACCGTTCAGTAGCGGGGTTCCCTCCCACACTGCACCGGACTCGTCGCCTCGGCTGGACCACGACACTTTTTTGGTGATGTTCGCCATAATGGCGGCCTCTGAAACTCACCGCTTTTAAAACACGAGAGAGAAATCTTCATGAACTTTAGCTACAACCAGCTAACTATAAATACAACTCTCCTGTTCCCCCCAATAAACATCCAAGAAACTCGTGACGATTGGTCAGCCTCGCGTGCGGGTTTAAAAAAAAATGTTTGCCGCGTTGCATTCTGGTATTTGTAGTAAAATAAGTCCTTTCTGTGAGAGAGTGTAAAAATCAGTCTCTCAACCTTACTCCAAATAATATAAAAGACACATATAAGATTGACCTAAGTTAAAACATGTTTGCATAAAATAAATATATTACATTTGGTTTAGTAAATAATTAATTAATGCCAGTGTTGTGTAAATATACGTCTTAAAATTTACATTGTGGATAAAAACAAATGCATTTAACTTTTACTCCAGAGTTAAGCAATTTAGTTGTTTCAACAGAACATAGTGTCAATATAACTCTGTGTCACCACTCCTGTTGGTTTCCATTTTAACTGACATATTTATATTTTGCCATGTTCAATTGAATCAGTCTTGTTTGATGTGTAAATAGCTGCCCACTCCATCCATCCATCCATCCATCCATCCATCCATCCATCCATCCATCCATCCATCCATCCATTGTTTTCCACATGTTCCCGAGTCGGGTCCTAATCTTCAGTAACTGGAATATGAGTGCTGAGATTTTGTGCCTTACAGAAAGATAAATAATCCTAATGCCTTGAGGGCCCAGCATTATTTAACACAGTCTAATGGGATTAATATGGGTTTTTCTACTGTGGTTCAAGGTTTGGATTCTGGATTTTTTTTATGCAGATAAGATAGTTGAAATCTTAATCTGTGTGCTTGTTTAGGCTTGTTTGTTTCTTTGATACTGTTTGACCAGATTTGTCTATTATTGTGACTCTGACTGATGCATAATTTTAGTCTGTATTCAATGTGTATACACAAAATTTACTCAAATCTACATTCCTTGAAATGACTGTTATAAACATATGAACAGCATTGCGTGACTAAACAATCCCATTAAAAGAGGAAACAAGAAAAAAAAACATCATCCACTCAGCAATTTAATTTTCCTAACCTAAGAGATTTAGAAAATATTGTGAAGTCCATTATGTGATGGAGACAATTTAGACAAAAGTACAGAAAAAAATTGGATTTTTGGAAACTTTCTGACATTTACAACAAACCTAATGTCTTGAAGTGATAGATTTAAAATGATATTTTTTTAAATGTTGTTCACGGCTGCAGATAGCTCTTTGATCGACCTCATTTTGTGGAAACAGAGTTTAGTTCTGATCAAACTGACAAGATGCTACTAGTTGTAACGAGTTCAAGACTAGAATGGATCTCTGCTCCCTTAAAACAACTTTAATGTGTTGTAATGTAATTACAGTATAAAGGTATAAAGTGAAGCTGGTAAAACAATAATTGATCATCACCGTTATTAGATTTGAACAATCATTTAAGAAAACCTTTTAGCCTTTCTGACGTTTATTAAACTAAGTGTTTTTTACATAATTTTGCCTATAGGCACAATAAGCACATAACTTACTACAGTGAGTTTATATGACACAGGCTGACATTAGACCTTCTGCCTCATTGTGTTATGCCTCAGGTGTTTAAGATCATGTGGTTGAGCATGACTCTACAGTCCATTAAAAGAGTTCTCTGGTCCAGACCCAAAAAGTCTGAATGGTTTTGAGTCAACATCAAAAATCAATTGCTATCCTGACTTACAAACAGTTAACATTACTTGGTTATCAACAATTTGTATATCTAACTTATTTATTAAGTAACAGCTACTTGCATTGTCAAAAGTGCAAAAGTATTTTGAATGAACATTACTTAATTTAGAGTTAGACTCAGTAGCCATAATAAGTAGCCATGGTCACTCCCACTGACAATTCAAAGAATAAGTGTGCATCAAGGTTATAATAGCTTTGGATTTTTCATTATAGTTTAGTTTTATTTCATGG